GCGGCGATGGCGGCGGTGCCGGCAGCAAGCGACAGCACTTTCAGTTCGCGTACCCTTCGCCGGCGCACTTCGCGCAACAGGCGGCGGTCGGGACGGCGGGTGCGGCGGGCGCGAACGGCGCTGAAGGAGGCGCCGGCGTCGATGCCGTTGCGGGGCCGAGCGGGGCAGCCGCAGGGAGGCCGTTCCCCGGCCCCCTGTCTCCGTTCGGGCACCTCCCACCGGACATGCAGGCGTATGGCCCGCTTAACCCGGGGTCGTCCCCCCACCCCAACCCGCACCAGCAAGCGTACCCGTTCCCGCCGTACTCGCCAACGGCCCTTATCGGTGGCGGCGGCGGCGGCGGCAGCGGCGCCGGAGCGCCGACCATGGAGATAAGCTTGGACGGCGGCAGCGGCGGAGGAATGGGGGCCCCGCAGAGGGGCCCAGGGGGGAGTGAGGGTGCGGGCGACTCGGATGGGAGAGTCGTGGGCGGCATGGAGATCGTCGGACACCAGGTATCTACGATATCTACGATATCTATGCGACGATTTCGTTCGTTTTTCCTAGGTGTTTGTTGGCTCGGATATATGCATACTATACCTTTTTTTTGGGCGCAAACGATTGGGTTGCGGGGGGGTAGAGTGGAATTTTGGAGCATGCACCTCTTGTACTTGGTCCTAACCCGCGCAAGCTGGCACTTGCTGTTGTTCATAGCCCATTCTTTGGTTGTTTTTTTGAGTGTGTGCGCTGTGTTCGTGCAACCTGTCCTGGTGCCAGTCTACACACCTTTCGGTGCCCCCCACCCCCCGCTCCGGTGTTTGCCATCGGGGTTGGGTTTTCGTCGCTTGGCAACGACGTTGTAAAACCAGCTGCCCCCTCGATGTTTGCCATCGGGATTGGGTTTTCGTCGCTTGGCAACGACGTTGTAAAACCAGCTGCCCCCTCGATGTTTGCCATCGGGAGTGGGTTTTCGTCGCTTGGCAACGACGTTGTAAAACAAGGCAATTCACTCCGTGAACTCGGCAACCAGGTTACCGTTTTTTTTTTTTTTCCTCTGTTTTTTTTTTTTTGCGGTAACGATAATGGTGGTCGAGTAGATCATGTTGTGCGGGGTGGAGAAGTCTCACTCCGCGCAAAGGGGGATGATCGCTCCACGTTGTGTTAAAATGGTCAAGCATCCTCGAGGCAGTTACACTGTGCTTACAACTGTCTCTGGAGGTGAAAGCACCAGAAAATAAATTAAGTCATACGCAGCTGTCATCCGTACGCAAGGAAGTAAGCACAAGATGCCGAACACCCTTAGCAGGATGCAGCTCACCCTTCATGCGACTCGCCCAATACCTCACGGCGCTTCGCGCTTGGTGATGTGAGAGCCTGGTCCGGTGAGAACCCGGCGTGCTCCGTCCCGGCTTTGTAGGGATGCGAGGTCAATGGTCTAACAACTACGGCATGCACGACTATGAGTACACCCCCCCCCCCCCCCCTCTTAACCTTCCCTCTTCTGCCGTTCCCGCCTACCTCGCCTGCATGTCGCCTGTCGCTCTTTTCGTTTTCGTGCGGATGGGGTTGGTTGTATCTTGGTTGCTGTGTTCGTGCACGCGGCGTCTGTGGTGTTTTATTCTAGCTGGAGCAGTGGCAACGGAAGATGCTGGTCGACGACGGGACCGACAAGTTCGCCGGCAGAGAGCTAGTGCAGCTGGACGCCACGGACCAGGTCTGTCGATGCTGTCGCTCTTCGTTGTTGTTGTTGTTGTTGTTGTTGTTGTTGTTGTTGTTGTTGCTGCTGCTGCTGCTGCTGCTGCTGCTGCTGCTGCTGCTGTTGATTTCGCTCTACTCCATGTATCCATAGTACATTGGTTGGAGTTCGTTGAATGGGTCTTGTTGTTACTCTTTCGATCCACTCTTTTTATCTATCCATGCGTTGGTCGGCTTCCCCTAGTTTTTTTCAAGTCCCTTCACAAGCTCACCCCCTTCCCCCGCCCGTCTCGCCAGACGCCCGGGGGGAACGAAGCACCGGGAGGACCGGTCCTAGGCACAACAACAGCAGCAGCAGCAGCAGCAGCCTCGAGGGAAAGCGACCCAACAACGTCATCGCTCGGCCTGACGCTCGAACGGCACCAGGCCCAGGCTCCGGCTCCAGCTCCGGCACCGGCCCCCGCCCCGGCCCCCGCCCCCGCCGGGACCCCGGTCCTAACCTACGACTCTCTTGTGGCGCAGCAGCAGCAGGAGTTCGAGCAGCAGGAACAGCAGCAGCGACAGCAGCAGGAGGGCGGGGAGGGGGAGTAGTGACGAGCGGGCGCTCCTGAAGTTAGAAATCAGCGGCGGTAGCGGCGGCAGCGGCGGAGAGTTGACCGTCGCCCCTCGTCCGCGATGGTGCTTCCCGCCTCCCGCCGCGGAGGTCGCAGCTGAGAAAACGGGGGGGGGGGGGGGGGGGGAAGGGTTAATTTTGAAAATTTTTTTATGTGCTCCC